AATATATACAATAATATAATATTAATTAGTCAGTGTTAATTGTTGATTTGTCCTGTTCTCATTGTATGACGAATTATGATGTCTGTTTAGTAGCCGTTTGCATACTATGCATACTCTCTCTCTCTTCATATGTGTATGTGTGTGTGTGTGTGGGGGGGGGGGCGCCAGAGGGAGTGTTCGCCCAGGGCACCAAACAGGCTAGGACCGCCACTGATTATAATCATAGCCTTAGTAGTATTTTGAACTCCACTAAAAGCTATACCTGTACCTTTTCCAAAGTGCTGCTAAAACGGCCAAAGTGTCTTTCTTATCCAAAATCATCCTGGCCAATGACCATAACCCCTGTATCTTATTTAAAATTTTTAACTCTGTGGTTAACCCTTCCCGGACATGCCTTTAATTTATTCTCAGGCTCTTTGTGAGCGATTTCAAATTCACTTTTTAGATAAGGTCTCATCTCTTAAGTCCTCCCTTCCCCCTGTTTTATATCCTCTCCCCATTCCTGAGTGCATTTCAACTTTCCACCAGTTTGAGCCTGTGTCACTTTTGTCTCTTAAGCGGCTAGTTGATCAAATGAATAACACCAATACTGTGCTTGACATTCTTCCATCTCGCATAGCTAAGGACTGTTTTGATGTAATTGGACCTAGTATCCTATTTCTTATGAACTTTTCCTTGCTCTCAGGCTGTGTTCCTTTGGCTTTTAAGCATGCTGTAGTCCACCCGATTCTTAAAAAAAGAAACTCTGACTGTTATGACCTTTCAAACTACAGACCGATCTCTAAGCTTTCGTTCTTGTCCAAGATCCTGGAGAGACTAGTTCTCTCCCAGCTCCAGGCGTACTTGGACACGAACAATATTGCTGAGAAATTTCAATCTGCCTTTAAGCCATTGCATAGCACTGAAACAGCGTTGGTTAGAGTTCTTAATGATATTCTTGTAATCACTGATACTGGACGCTCTATGGTCCTAGTTTTACTGGACCTCTCTTCGGCCTTTGATATGGTGGACCTAGAGCTGGGCGATAGAACGATAACGATATGTATCGCGATATAACTTTTACTCGATAGAGAAATTAAGCTATCGCGATAGACCTCGCCGCTCTTGTCCTCTTAAAAAAAAAAAAAGAAAAAAAAAAGGTCAGCCAATCCAAATTAAGTAGCGCAGAGCCGAACCAATCACAGCCGCAGCGTCACGTCGCGTGACTTGTTACGTACAGCACAAGTGCCAAGCCGCACGTGTGTTTGTTTGGGAAGCAGCCAGCGGGTAATGGAGGAAATGAGTGTGCCGACTAGAAAAATCAACCGAGCGTGACCGAAGAGAAAACAGATGATGGTTCCAACGCCGGAGAGATTGTCGAACGGAAGAGCCACAGAAGTTCCGTAGTGTGAAGGTATTTCGGCTATTTCAAGTCTGACAAAAAACAGAGTAGCGTGCACTGTAAATTGTGCCGAAAGCAAGTCTGGAAATACAATAAACTGGTGCATGCGTCACACTGTGCGCCACGTTATTGTTTCGGTGAAATGAATTTCTACAATACTGTTAATTCTACTCTCTGCAGTGTTTAAATGCTTACATATACACACAGTTACTGTCCCTCCACACATACGACTCGGTTCTGCTTCTATGCCCCAGCTTTGTTTACTTTTTCCCACCGAGGCTTCTAGACTTCTGATTGGCCAACATTTCTGCACGGTTAGGAATCTAGCGCCACCTGCTGCTTTGGCATGTTCATAGCAGCGTTTTCCTTCATTTCTGCCTTTATGTGTGGACGGGATTATTTTTTAAAACGAAAACGGAAAATCTCCGTTTTCAAAAACACCCGTGTACGTGTGGACGTAGCCTCAGTCTCTGACTGGAAGCGCTAATTCGTCATTCGGCTTTTGTCAGACTAAAGTAACTGTTAAAACTGTTTGAAAAGCTCAGCTATACAACAAGGAGAGAAAAAAAAAAAAAAAAAAAAAAAAAAAAAAAAAAAGCTCAAGCTATACAACAAGGAGAGATTGAGAATTTCCTTTTAGTTCTCAGTTTATTTGATATTGACAAAAGTTAGTCAGTTTTGTCTGTTCTTCTGTAAAACAAACTAAGATTTATTTTTAGAATTAATATTTTGTTTCTAAGTGGAATTGACAATTTAGTCTGTTTCGTTTGTTCTATTTTGAAACTTAAACGCTTTAGCGGCTGCCTTTTGTGTAGTTTGCAATATTTGCCTTTATTTATCTGAAAAAGTCTCATGTTCCTTAAGTACATCTACCCTGTTGAACTTCATCCATCCATTCGCGTCCGCTTAATGGATGAACTTATTATGGGAAATAAATATTTAAATAAAAACAAGCTGCTGATTATTTCACATTTTACTTGTGAGCAACGGCACATTTAAATCTTACAAATATAGTTATTTGGCTTATATCGTGATAGATATCGTTATCGCCTGAAATGAAAAAAACATATCGTGATATGAAAAAATCTTATATCGTCCAGCTCTAATTCTGTGTAACATGTCATATGATATTTTAAATCGTTAAACACCACTTTCTAGATGTTGACAATACCACACTTGTGAGAATCACAATCACTTGTGAGGGTTTTTTTTGCCAATTTTTCAGGCAACAAGTCATTAAATTGACCTTGAAGACCTTGTTGGATGTCAGCCATGTGATTTTAATGCATTGTTATCATGACCCACTCTACACTCCTATAGAGTTTTATCAGAATCCATTCAAAACCTTTCGAGTTATCGTGCTTACAGACAGAATGATCACACACACTCGTGCAAACGCTACCAAAAGGACGTAAGAATGATTTTCTATGAATTTATTTTCAAATCAATAACTCGTCTCGCCTCGTGGAACTTCGCTAATGTTGACGGTGATTTGGCGCCACCTGGTGGACATGACGTCACATTGCAGCCTGTGTCTCTGCTGTTATCCTCGATGGCGGTGAGTTCTGCTGCTGTTGACATGAGTGTATTTTTCTGTCTGCCTGTTTTAAGCATAGCATTTGAACTGTCAGGCAAGAAATTTATAAATTTGCCTTTTAACTTACCCCGTATTTGCCATTTAAGCTTTGACTTTCAAAGAGTCTAACAATGCTTTAAGAACCATTACTCATCTCACACATTATATTTTTGTATATTTCATTATATTAATGTTTTATTTTTGTATTTTTTTTATTTCAGTTTACAGTGGGCTTCTTTTTCCTGACTTTACTTGTAAGTAACTAACTGTAATAATCTTTCAGTACTACGGTGTTTTTATATTTTACATGTTGCATTGTGGGTCCTCATTGGTTTGACATTTCTGATTCTACTATGTTTGGTCCTTTTCACACCAGTGACAGTAAACATAACCCTTAAATTATAATACAGTGTCAGTGTAAGGCTTCTCTCTGATCTGATATTGATAACAGCTTGCTATTACACTTCCTTGCATCCATCCATCCATTCGCTTCCGCTTATCCTTTTCAGGGTCGCGGGGGGCGCTGGAGCCTATCCCAGCTGTCATAGGGCGAGAGGCGGGGTACACCCTGGACAGGTCGCCAGTCTGTCGCAGGGCCAACACACAGGGACAGACAAACATTCACATTCACACCTAGTGACAATTTGGATTATCCAATTAACCTATCCCCACAAGTTGCATGTCTTTGGACGGTGGGAGGAAGCCGGAGTACCCGGAGGGAACCCACGCAAACACGGGGAGAACATGCAAACTCCACACAGAAAGACCCCGGAATTGAACTCAGGACCTTCTTGCTGTGTGGCAACAGTGCTAACCACCGTGCCACCGTGCTGCCCATCACTTCCTTGCAGTCATTATAATATTTAACAACTTACTTCCCCATTTAGTAGAATAGTTTTGATATTGATATATTAGGGGCCTTAACATCATATATATTTATTTATTCTAAAATATATATATTTTTGCTCATTGGCAGGATTGATATGTGCAGAATTAAAGCTATGTGGACTTGAATATGACAAATATGCAACAGCTCCCAGTGGTAACTTTCAATGGTGTTATTGTTTCCACAATGCAGTGGAAATTGCAGAGCACTGACTCGGAGTGTTAAGTGACCGACCTCAGTGCTGTAGCCTTTCTTCAGCTGCCTGTGTTATTTGTGTGCCAGGCTGTTGCATGTCTTCAGCGCTCAAACTTTGGTAGAGGCAGCGCTCGGCGTGTGAAGGATGGTGGGAAATGCAAGCCCCCCACTCCCCCTGCAGTGCACCTTTCTTTAGGATGCTTCTTTAGTACTCTCAACGTGTAGTCTTGACATCATGGGAAAAAGAGCTACTGAAACCACAGTGGGAACAAACAGCACGTGCATCATATTTCTGTGATGCCTGGATCCACACAGTGGTATGATAAGCTAGGAAAGGAGTTCTGTTTAAAAGGTTAGAGTAGTATTTTATGTTTTAATAAACCAAATTGTGCCAGTTTTGGAATCAGCGAGTTTTAGTCTACATTTTAGATAATAAAGGGGAAACTGTTCTTATGTTGCCAGTGTCTGAAGCATAAAAACATACGAGAAATCAGACAGATTTGTTGCCAAGCATGTGGCGTTCTATTCACTTATAGGAAAAAAAAGGTGTTTCTTATTTTTGTTTATTACAGTGTCATTTGAGCAATAGCGCTAATTTCAGATTCACAGAGTGCGTCGCATGATCGGAGGGTAACAGGTTTTAACCGGCGTGCCTCGAGCAGAAGATAAGTGAGGAGGGGAAAGAGCAAGTGCTTTATAGGGGGAGAGGGAGGGTAGGAGGGAGTGAGGACAAGCGGGTAGGAGGCTTGGAGAGCGAGAGAGAGAGCGGGTGGGCGCTGTGAAATCCGTTAACAGGGGAGCTCTGTGCATTTGTTAGACGTCTTGGCTGCTTGCCCAACTTGGCTCATTGTAATCAAGGCATGATCGTCGACTCCAGCCAGCCCTCTCTGCCGCCACGGCTGCCTTGCGCCTGGACCCAGCCCAGCTCCCAGCGCTGACATGGAAAGACCAGTGAGTGCCTTCTCTCTTCTTCCCCCTCGCTCTCCCTCTCTTTTTTTAGTATTAGGTTCCCCCTCGTTTCCTCTTCTGCTCTGTCGCAGTTTCAGCTGTGTCTCTGGCTCTTTCTCTCCCCTGCTGTCGCTCCCGTAGGTGGCAGGATCGCCGGGTAGGAGGTGGTGTGTGTGTGTGTGGGGGGGGGGGGGGGGGGGGGGGGGGCCTTGGCAGCTTTCTCCCTACAGGCTGCTTCCTCCCCCTTTTGCCCGTCTGTCCGGGCATGGATGCCATCCGCTGGCAGGGTCTGTGTGCCGTTTGATCACGTGAGGGTGTTAGCTGTGCTGCTGCACTGTCACAGGTCTCCAGGAGCCAGAGGTTTGCCATTTCTGCAAAGATTCTCCCCACTTTTTGGTTCGTTGAAGCGGGCGTTTGCTTCACTCTCCGCCATTGGCCTCCCTGAGAATCGGAGTCGACAGTGAGTTTCTCTGTTGCGCCTATTCTTGGTGGTATGTCCTCATGGTCTGTTGTGTTTGGGTACCCTGACAACTAAGAGCAGTGAGGTAACCACTTTCCAGCCTGTTCGCCCCTTTGAATGACTCCAAACTTTTTTCACAACCGCTGAGCTTTTTGCAGCTTCCCAGACGATTTCAGGATATGTAGTTGCCGTCATTTTGCAAAAAGTCTGACCGATTTGAGAGCTCAGTGTGAATTCAACTATTCAGCATCCCAGTGGCAGCCATTCCTTGCAGTGATGGAAAAAAAAACATGAATAGATTCCTTGCGGTCCTCATAGTGAGTCATCGTTATGTGCTAGAAACCTTGACTTGTATGTCGTCAGTGAAGCAACAGTGGAGGATGACTGACTCACTTTGGCACATCTATGTCCTATGCATGTCAGGATGGTCTGACCCCTCAGAGTCACTTATGCAGAGAGTGGAGAACAGGACACTTCAAAATGAATTATGTTTTCCTCACAGATGCAAACAAGCAGAAGTGGCAAATTCTCTATTTGCCGGCGTTACTGTCACTTCTCCAGAGCTGTGAATAACAACAGATGATGCTGACAGTGATTCAAAGAGGGAGACACATAGCTGATTGATTTGACAGTGAATGTTGTTCATTCAGATTTAATCCCGTACTGCTGTTTATGTTTGAATTCTTTCTAAGAAGAAAAATGGTGTTGGCTTGCTATAAGAGAAGAAGCACTGATAATTGAAATAGTCTTGAAATGACAAGTCTGCTCTATTTTAGCTTTGGCACATATTCTATTCTATTCTATATTTGTGTATCACATCAGCCACACTCAAACTTGTGCAGGACTTTATTGTGTCTTTTATTTTCAATTAAGCCACGGTTTACAAAATCAACACAATGTTGTGCTACATAAGAGTTTAAGCAAGCAATTGTAACAACAAACTCATATTTGTGACCTACATTTAGGTCATAAATAAATGGATTATTTGGATCATTTTCTCACAGACTTCTATATAATTTGCCTGATTTTGGAATCGTCCCCCCAGTGGCGATGAGAAAGATTGCACTTTGCTTTTATCAGCTTCTGAGGCTATATCCTTGAATTACTGTTTGCTTTAAAGAAGGTAGTATAGCCTCTTTTAGCCGCTGGGCTCCAGAGGAGTGCTCCTGTTTCACCAGTTTTCTGAGCCACACTTTGGACCCGGGAGTAAGGGAGGGAGGGAACAGGAGGCTAAGCTGCTGCAGGTTAAAGGAAATTAGCTCTTTTTCATGCAGAAATCTGATGCTTCACTGTCCCTGCTCTGTGAACATCTGTGCACATTTAAGAGTCCTTTAACTTAATGCCTGCCCTTGCTTTTACAGTTACAGTTGGTATAATATGATAAAGTGAGGTTCTCTCTGAAGGAAGCAGGCTGTATGAGAGCACATGGAGCACATTTTCAGTATGGAGTCTCTATTTGTGCCCTGCTGATTGCATTGGGGTATTTAAATTTGGTCTGCATATGCATTCAGCTCGTGTAACTGAGCTTCATGATGAATGCTCCATCTGTGGTGGGTGTGAGGATCTATCAGTGTTATTAGTGTGTTATTAGTGTGCACACTGCTGCACACTGATGTACACAGGTGCCTTTTTAAAATAATTGTCAGTCCAGCTGATCAGCTGATGGTTACTTCACCTGTCAGCCTTGGTTTCTCCTCTGCTTGTAAGCAGGTTTTATGTTGTTGCAGTTGCTTATTTAAATGTCATTGTAATTATGTTCAAACTCACAATATATACAGAAATACAAGAATAGAGCTGAGTGCTGAATGTAGGCATTTTGTTCTTTATTGATAAATGTGTCTAGAAAAATAATATCAAATTCTTTACACTGCTAAAGCAGGTGTGTATGGTTTGGTTTGTAATCTTATTTGCTCATTGCTTAGTATAGATCAGTTGTAACAAAAGTTTTTCATTTCTAGACTATTGTTTGCAGTGCAAATTAAATTTGTTAAGTAATGAAAGTGTTTCACACACACCAAAAAACAGCTTGTTAGAAACATTGATGATTCTCCAGGGCTCTGCAGTAAAGTGGTCCAAGTGCTAAAAGGCATGTAGGCAGTTAAAATAGAGTCAAGAGAGTTTATGGAGGTCTCAATGGAGTCCTTTGAAACTTGTACGACAGTATTTCAGTTAGAGGTCTGGACATTGCTACAACACCTTGGTTCTTTTAATTTTTTCAGCCATTCTGTGGTAGATTTGCTGCTGTCTTGTTGCATGAGCTTTATACCTTTATCTATCAGACAGATGACCTCACATTTGACTCTAGAATTCCTTGGTATATAGAGGAGCTCGTGGACTTCAAGGTGTCCAGGTTTTATAGATGAAAAACAGGCCGAAGACATCAGCCCTCCACCACCGTACTTGACAGTTGCCATGAGGTCCTGGTGTGCTGGTACGTGCAGTTTTGTATTATGGCCAAACATCTCCACACTAATCTTCCCTGTCCAAAAGACATTGTTTCAGAGGTCTTGTGGTTTGTTCAGATGTAGCTTTGCAAAGCTAAGCTTTGCTGCCATGTTCTTTTAGAGAAAAGATGGCTTTCTCCTCTGTACTGTCACAAACTTTAACTTTTAACATGTTAACTGAGGCCTGGTATTTTTTCTGAGCATTGTATAGTTTGATCTTGAGGTTATCCATACCAGCTAACGGCCAAAACCCCTCTGCTTCTATAGAGGTGGACACATTTGGTGATGTTCTTTTTAATCTAGTGCATTTGATTGGCAGCAGCTGGATTCTACTTGTAATTTGTAGGGAAGCAGTAAGTGTTCTTTTTCACACAGCTGTGTTTGGAAAATAAGAAACCTTTCACTGTCAAAATGACTGCAATTTGTCTCCTAGGTTCCCACACAAATGTTTAAAGAAGAAGTGATGCAACAAAGTGGTAACATTACTCCAGTCCTAAAAGAATTGTGAAACCTGTTGGATGCATGAACTTCAACATGAGACTGGGTTATTTCTGAGCTTGTGCCATATCCTGTTTGTTTTCCAGTGAACAGTAGGGTTCAGATCATTTCATTCTGTTTTATTTAAATTTCACACGGCACCCCACCTGTGAGAAAACCAGGTTTAATGAAGCCATAGAAGCCTCAAAATAAGATCAATCTGATGAAATGTAAATGTTTTTATATTTCTAATGAATACCTATAAATGTCTCATCCCAGACCTCCAGTGACATGATGCCTAAGAGGGATCATGAGAAGGACCTGGAGCTGGACAAGAAGATTGAGGCTCTCCGCAGGAAGAATGAAGCTCTCATGAAGAGGTACAAGGTGAGAAGAAGCCTTCACATATAGAAAAGCTTCTGAGGTTTTATGTGTGGAGCTTGCAACTCTTTCAGGTTTCCTAATTACTTTATTGTTTGTAGGAGGTAGAGGAGGACAGGAAAAGAGCAGAAGAGGAAGGAATGGCACTGCAGAGCCGGAAGGGCAAAGCCGACGATCTTACCATCACAATCAGCAAGTCCGCTAGTGTGAGTGTCAGCAAAAATAATGATAATAATAATTTTATCTTTAATTCAAAATCCCAACACGTCTCAGTTTTACTACCTGAATAAGAAATGCTGCTCTATTTAATAAAGGAAATCTGTCAGCTTGACTCTTTGGGCTTAAATTATAAAAAATACATGAAATAAGTTAAACTACAGAAAACGTTCTGGTACATCATTCCTCAAGTGGAAAGTTTTGTTAATGTGCAAAAAAAAGAAAAAAACAGGAATTTCTGTTATTTAAATGTTTATTTATTACTTTGGTGTTGTATGAAAGACTGTGGGGGAGGTCTCCATCAGTAGGAAATGCTGTACAATTTATGAGAATACAATTAAAAGGAAAATATTTTCACATTTTTCAAAGATGTCCAGTGGGCCGGTTTGGAGTCTCTGCCCCCCCCCCCCCGGCCTTATTTTCGACACCCCTGGTTTTTAAAAAAAGCTACAATAACTAATATCCCACAGTGTTGTCTTTGCATTTGATAGAACCCTGTTCTATCAAATGCTGTTAACTACATCAATATTTCATATATTTCATAGACTGTCCTTTTCTTTGATTGGAAGCAGGATAGTCGTGTGGTGGTGACAAAGCCATTCAGTGGCGGTTCACCAGCTGGGAAGGGACAGCAGGAAGCCGGACCTGACAGAGGGGGAGAGGCTCCTCCACAGACTGCTGGCCGAGGACACAGGAAGCAACTAACGGTCACCATGGCTGGCAAAAAGGTAAATTAACTACAAGGAAAAAGTGACAAAGACCCAGTACAGGAGAGCCAAAACCCCATTAGCTTAAAGTCTAGTTATATTGTAACAAGGAAGAATGCCACAAAATGTTTTTATAAAGATCTGTAATTTAAGAATTACAAATATTGCTGGTAGTTTTTTTTTCTTTCCATGAGCTCTTCTTGCATAGACAAGAATGTGCATCCAAAAGAGTGTTGGCGCATTTAAAAGACTCTACTCTGTAAACCATGGGATGGCTGTGTGGGAAAATCTCAATGGACTTATTGAACAATGAGGTGGAACCATTTCATAGCAGGATGAAATAGATCTCTTAGAACAACTTTCTAAAGATGTCCCTTAGAAGTCTTGGAGCCACACCGGGCCAGCAAATCAAAATATAACAGAACAAAGCAACTGGATCTCCATCCATCCATCCATCCATACATCCATACTAGGGGTGCAACAATACACAAAATTCACGGTTCGGTTCGATACTTTGGTGTCACAGTTCGATATTTTTTCGATACAAAAAAAATGTTCGTGCTTTTTTAATTTGTCATTTATTAAAATTATAAATATATATTTTAACTCAAACGTACAGTTTTTAAATTTAATGTTGCTGAAACAACAAAATAAAAAAATAAATCTATCTGATGGAGAAATCACTCATCTTTGGAAAAGAGAGTTTATTACAGAGAAATGGCTCTTTCAAAATAAAAGCTCTACTATACGCTTCTTCTGGGCTATATTCTCAGCAGCATATTAAACATATCAGGTCCCCATAAGGAGAATCCTGTGCTAACAGCTGTCTAAATGACTCGGGTAAAGTTTGTAGCGTGCTGCTTGTTGTTTTTGTCTGCTTCCACTTGTCTTTGCACGAGGATGATGTCGGCGTAAATGTGCAGTCATATTCTTGTGTTCCCACTAGTGCTGTCAGGTTAATCTCATTGAAATGACCTTAACGTCACAACACGGCAAATCTCCGTTAACGAGCTACCGC